TCCTCGCCGTCGGCGGGCTTGTATTGGGCTGCTCTGCGGGTTTTAAACTGTGCGCCTGCATCTGTGTTTCTCTGACTGCCCCTCTGTGTCTGTCTCTGCCTGCCTGCATGGCAGTCCAGAAAGTGTCTGCCGGTGTCTGCCTCCGTGACCTTTCTGTGTGACGGTCTCCGTCTGTGTCGGCCTTCAATGGGTACAGGGGCCTTTGCCCTTCTGCACCTGTGTCCGTGCTTGGCCCCTGTACCCATGGACCCCTGTGTCTCCATCTCCCGAGTCTCTGCGTGTCTCGGTCTCGCCTGGGAGAGGTCTCGGTAACGGTAACGGGGTCGACACGCGAGCACCAGGACCGATGCCCGCCCCCAGCCCTAACGCTGGCGCCTGAACTCGGGTTCAAAGCGTCCGCCGCGCCCTGCGGTTTCCCCGCCCGGGTGCCCGCGCTGCGCCTGCCTTGCGAGAAGAATGAATGGTGGTGTCGCGAAGGGCACCCTGGCGCCAGGTGACGCAGGGAAGCCCGGAGCACCCGAGGACGCGCTGCGCTTCTGCGTGTGTCCACAAGTGGGGAGGGGGGGTGCAGAGGGCGCCCCCTGCCCTTGTTGAAGTGCCTCACGTGACAGTTCTCGCCGAACCAACGGGAACACTCCTCTCACCTCCCACCCCCAGCTGGCCGTCCACTGCCGCGTCACCTGCTTGCTGGCGCTCAGGGGCTCTGTTGAAATCCTTGGCCTTGAAGGAGAGGGGTGATGACAGCGCTGATGAGGGTAATAATCATTTCCTATGTTCAGGGCACGATTGAGGCGGAGGGGGTCTCCACTGTCAGTGAAGCGTGTCCCCCCCCTCCCCCTCCGCCACCTCCCACCAAATTACGCAGCTAGTAAGGCTGCCAAGTACTGAGTGTCCTTCCTCCAACAACTCACCAAGTGTTAGTCCCTGGAACACAGAGGCGAATGCAATGGTGGCTGCTCCAGGGACCGGGAGCAGCCAGAAAGAGAGGGAAGAGGAAGGGTTGCCAGAGGATGCCTCTGTGCAAGCCTCACTCAGAGCCCCAGGCCTGGAGGCCCATCCCTATCAAGCCCTCCCCTGCAGTGTGCTAGTCTGAGATAAGGTGGAAGCTGGAGGTGGAGGCGGAGGCCCAGCTGGAGAGAGAGCCTGGAGACCTGGAGGGACAATAGAGGCTGGAGCTCAGGAACACTAAGGAGAGAGGCCAGAAATTTCACCCCCACTGGAGGTCGTCCAGCAATGGGTTCCAATCCTGGTTCTGCCACTTTCTCCATGAAGTTGAATGGAAGGCCCCATCATTCTAGATTTTAAAAAAGTAATTCATGCCCGGCCAGTGTGGCTCAATGGTTGAGCATCAACCCATGAACCAGGAGGTCACGGTTTAATTCCCGGTCAGGGCACATGCCTGGGTTGTGGGCTCGATCCCCAGTGTGGGGATGCAGGAGGCAGCTGATCGATGATTCTCTCATCATTGATATTTCTCTCTCTCCCTCTCCTTCTCTCTCTGACTGAAATCAATAAAAAATACATATTAAAAAAAAATTCAGACAAACTTCATTGGTGATGAAGTGATAGAAGATTCTTTACATTATTTTGTCTAAAAAATGAATCTAGGAGAACAATGTGATCCTGACTTCAAGTCCTTGTTCTCATTCTGAATTTTATTTTTCTTTTTTAAAAATATATTTTTATTGATTTCAGAGAGAAAAGAGAAGAAGAGAGAGACAGAAACATCAACAATGAGAGAGAATCATTGATTGGCTGCCTCCTGCACATCCCACACTGAGGATGGAGCCTGCAACCTGGGTATGTGCC